CTGCCATTTTTCAGGCTATAAAAAGTGAACGTTGGTGTGAAGTCATGATTTTATAAAGGTGAAACACAGAAATGTAAACTGAGATCTACATTTTCACCCTAATGTTGTACATTAACATATTTTTTGTCTGAATGTGCAGTTGACACACGGTCAACCCTAACGAAGTGGGCCTTCGTTGGACTTGTAAACATGAGGTGAAGTTAAGGCTAATGTCATATCCGCGCTAGCCCAAAACGATCTTCCCGTTTTATCGGATGCCCTGAGGTCAATTACGGCAAAGCTTAACGAAATAAACTTTATCAGGGCTGGAAACAACCTTAATAGCATTCTCCAAAACATCGCCAAGTTATTGGTTTACAAGATAGGAGGTCTGCATTTCAACCTACCAACTTTCAAGGAGGGAACCTTTTCTACAAGGCATAGTTTGACAGACGGTTCAAGGAAATTCTTCTCTATCAGTATTGAGGCTATCTCTCCTGCTGCCATACGCTGATCAATTAAAATTGCCTTTGTTGTTCTGTCCGGACGAAATATCCGAACTACGAGCTGTCAAACGAAAGAACGACAGTTGAACAGAGCAACAGTTTGAACACCTCCTTCTGTTTACGGCCACTTTTACCCATCTAAGCTGCTAAAAGTAAGTCGTTAAGGCATTTGTAAACGTCACTTCACGCAATTTGGTGTGTGACGATGATCTGCATGGCCAAAATTTACAGTTCACTTTCGACCAAGGCTTGTGGACGTCTCAAGATAATTTAGCACAAAATGTGTATCCTTAAGTGATGCCTTTTGTCCTTTGGGAAATTCGAGTCTCAGGGTGTCAGCACTTCAATTAATGCATTTTCCAAACTGTAGTAGAGGACCTAAAGTCGACAATCATCTTATAAACAGTGATATGTTACTTTAATGGTATTTTACTGAGACACTTTATGCCAAGTTTACATGTGCATTGTTTTTATGGTTCTGTTTTCTCTACAAACAATGGGGAGCTGGTGAACGTATTTTTAACTGTGGGAAAAATCCAAAATCTGTAGCTTACCTTGTTCAACTGAAGTCGATCTGCCAAGTCAACTACTTGATTGAGCTTTTTGAAGAGTTCCGGGAATTCAGACACCTAAGACACAAAACGGCATATCCTAAAGTAGCCATCATAATCAAACTTTCCAAAAAACCTGCGTCACTCACCACTGATCCACTGGCACGCAAACCATATCACCGACCACCTCGACTGCATTGCTTCCCTTTTCGTGGTTTCGTTAAAAAGTCAAAAGGTGGATTTTATAGCAAACGACATTTATGACCCATTCATATCATCCAAAGTGCATCCATATTTTCTTCTTGGTGGGGAAAACAAGCGTAAAGTGTGAGCAAGAAGTTAAAGCGCGATAGGAACTAGTTGCTTTCTAGTAATCGAGCGGCAGTCGTGCAGTTCTGGGTAACAATTAATGCTCCTGTCTGGCCTTTAAATCGCAGATGTTAAAAGCAAATAAAGATCTGTGCAGTTCTCCTCTGCGCGTACCACGGGAAGGCACAAAGTGCCTTCATCCTTCAGTTGACACTGCCTCTCTGCCAACGCATTTATCGATGCGTAGACAGTTGATGCGTTGGTTTGGCCAGGAAACAACAAATTCGCCACAATCTGGGCAGGTCTGCAGATCCCTAGTAGTTGAACGTGCTCCACCCCCCAAATTACTGTGCTAAGCAAAATTCCATTACCACCTTTCAAAGCTTTGATTTACGGCGCACGCCTCAGTAACTCAAATAAAACTGACTTTCTTCTAACAGACGGGCGGCTGGTAGATATTGCTACCCATTGCAGTCAAACTGAAGTGCTGATGCCACGCTGGAGCGCATAAAATAAGCTAATCAAAGCAAAACGGTGCGATGGGAAAGTGGGAGGTTTGTACGGAATCTTTTTGCATTTTCAAAGCGACAGTGTAAATATAAATAAAAGAAGTGGCAAGAAGGGGCTGCACCTCACGATTACTTGAGCTACCTCCTCCTATGCCGCTAGATAGCACCGTAGTAAAGAGGTGATGAAGTCAAAAACGATTAACCCAACGCAATCGACTTAGTTGTAGAATCGGGAGCTGCTCCTAAGTTAAATAATTAACTCCATTGCTCACTATTTGAACAGGCAAAGTCGAGCCATCCAACTTACAGACTTGTCGGAGAGGGAGACCTCATTGCTACTGCCGAGAGGACTCTGAGGCGATGGCAGTGGTGGTGGTGGTGGTGGTGGTCGAAGAGCAGCCAATGATGACCGTCTAACGGAAGCAGAGTCTATGGAGGAGAACCGATTGGCTTGTGTCTGGTTCGAGGGCGACGCCACCTCCATTGAGCAATAACGTTGCAAATCATTCCGTTGTTCTCTTTCCTTCAAGATCCAGTTAATATCATAATAGGGCAAATGCATTCAAAATCACTG